AAGCACCTGTCTAAATTTAAGCATTGGCAGCCACCAGCTAAACTGGGACAGCCTCCATACTTCAGGACAAGCACTCTCGGAGCTGCTCTGAACTTGAACCTGTTTGTTTCACTGACTGCATTTCAATGACTTTCATACAGGAAGCAGTAACAACCTACAGCCTTTTTATCTGAACAGAAAGACATTATTTTCATTACAAGATACCTCCTCTGTTACAATGCATTAGGAACAAATGGCTCCTGAAAGCACCTTCTGCAATCTGGGAACTGACCTGTTGCACTCACAAGTCATGGAAGAAAAATCAGCATCACACAAATGTGCACCCTCTGGACTTAATGGCATCCACAGACAACAGTACAGCTAAAATAGGGAAAACAAAAAGCTTTTCCTTTGTGCCACGGCAAGTGAAGGGGTTCCAAAGCCATCTCTATTGTATTGTAAGACTTTCAACTAGTCTGATATCACCTTATGCTACTAATTCAACTAAATAAAAAATAAAACCTATTGTACGATTTTTAGGGATTTATCTAGCATTTCTTTCATTGTTAATGAGCTACTCCCACTCTTTTTGTCACATTCAGAGATGCACATTATCACAACTTCATTGCACTCATGAATTTGCTTTCTTATAAACTACTATTCCTGAACAGTATATGGGGTAGTGGTTTGGAGTTTTTGTTTTGGTTTGGTTTTATTTTGTTATTTCATTGTGATTGTGCTTCCTAGTGCCTGAGGAACAGAAGTTAAAAAATGAAGTTTTTAGAGAGCCTTTCCAGTGACTGTATTAGCAATCCTGTTCTTCCACATTCTTGCAGAACACGCTACATTGTAAATTTTCAAAGAGAATTACACCCAAAAGGGTGAGCAAGCCACTGCTTTCAATTTCTTAAATTCTCCTTTGCCAGAATGCAGGGAAGCTGTGCATTTTTCTTTGTGTAAAGTTTTAGTTGAACTGATCTCCTAATGCAGAATGTTGCTTTTGAGCAGAAGCAGTTTCCCTTTATTACTATCAGAAATAAATCTTCCTTCCATCACCTGACACGGAAAGAAGAAAAAGGAAATTTTAAAGATGTGGAATAGAGTTAAAAAGGAAAAGGAAGTTATACATACAAGGGTTTAGGAAATAATTAATTGTTTGCATTATAAAGTCGGAGTCAGTAACAGGTCTCACTGCTGAGGTTAATTTAGCTTACATGGAAGGAAAAAATGAATATTCTTCCCTATTCCAGTCATCCTCTTCCTTGTTTTGATTATTGTTTGTCACTTCCCAAGGCATATTCTTTTGGGGGTACTTCTATAGCTACACTCCATCATAATGGTTTTGCCTGCACTGATTGCTGCCAGAATCTCCAACCAGCACACTTCAAAGCGTGCAGCAGGCTGACTGAACTGACTTCAGATATCTGGCTCCCTAGATGTCCTTTCATCCCTTCTCTTGTCTGGCTGCAGCTGCTCATCTAGGGCTATGACTCCTTTAGTTCTGTCTGAGATGGCTCTCCCTCAGGTTGCTCTGGCTCTGGCTGTTGCCTTTGAGATGCAGCTGCCTTGTTTCTCCATTTTATTAGAGTCGGTTTTTCCATGCTGATTGTTGCTCCTTGTGTTATTCTTGCTGCACTCTCTCCTCCTCTGATGCTGCAGCTCTCCAGGGCTATGATTCCTGCTGTCAGTTATTTCTGGTGTGGAAAGGCTGTCACGCTTTTTGCTTTGATTTAACAATTCTCAGTTCTACTCTTGTGTTCAACAGGCTATATTTTCTATTGCATTTGGGATATAACCACTTTTCCCGTCATCGTGGGAGGACACTATCTCACTTCCAGCTGCACTGGGAAGACATATGCACTCTCTGATGCAACCTGAGAGCCTTGAATCATCTACCAGTACTGTTTATTAATGAACTATCACGACTTCTCATTTTTTCTCTACTTATTTGTGGCCCTAGTGGAGGACGACATGCTTCAATCTGAAGAATGACTAGCATGACGCTTTTCAAAGAGGCAAGCTTTACCCTCAACCATTTAAGTGGAAAAACATTGTGTGCTGCCAAGCTGTAGTGTCTGCTTCACTCTGCTTGTGGGATTACCTGAATGCCATGGGGTTTATGTCCTGGATTTCTTCACACATGCAATCACCAAGGATGAGAAAGTAGAAATGAAAAATATATTCAACTGTGAGGCAACTAAATAGCACATTTTCAATGGTCATTTCTGAAGTGTGTAGAAAAAGGCATGACTTTAGAATGACAGCTAAGTGTCTAGCAGAGATGGGTACTTTAATGGTGTCTGATTTATACCATATTGATGACAGTAAAGACAATGAAATAACAAGAACATTCTATGACTGTCATTTCACTGAACAAAACTTATATCAGAGAAATTTTCATCATTTCAATATCTTGTAGAAAATTGCAAAGAGAGAATAGAGATCACATGGACAATCCAAGCACTCAGGGAGCACAAGATGGACATTTAAATAAAAAGTTAAAAGACAATGAAAAAAAATCCAAAATGCAGGGAATGGATGCTGCACATAGTGGTAAACTCTTTAAAAATATTTTATTTAAGACAGTAGAAAAGTCCTCACTGATGGTCCTGACCCAAAGTTTAATAGAGTCAAGAGAAAAAAATTCCTGACTAATGATTTACAGCAATTTAAAAAGTCACTCAACCAAAGACAACCAAAAAGTCATCCCAGAAACACCATTAATAATTTTCCTCCAGCAGGGCTTTGTGGCACCTGAAAATATTTGAGCCCACACCTGACCAGGTGAGAGCCTCCAGTGTAATTTTACAGTTTGGATTTTACCGACATACTATTCACCACAGCATTTATACCAGTAGACACTAGAGAGCTAGAGGAATAGGCTCTGTTCTGGGTATCTAATAAATAAACTTATTTCCAAAGCTGCTTTTCAGTGTAAGGAATGAATGCATGCATACAAGATTTTCTAGGAAAGAAACAATGTAAGATATGTTAAATTTGCTCTAATTTATCCTCAGAAGGAACAGTGTAAGGTTTTTCAAGGAAGGTACTGAAAAGGAAAGCTACAAAATAAATCAGGAAAGTTTCTTCCTATTAAACAATAGGCATGTATGCTGTTAATGAAACTTTTATGCTTCCTATTATATAATGAAGCTTGTATCTTAAACCAAAAGGATAAACAGCTACAGAGTACAGCAGACAGACAAATTACCAGACAGGAACAAACAAGACCTCGTAGGTGAAAGAGTGGTTATTTTAATCTCCCCACCTATGAAAGTGTGTAAATAAATTCTGCTACTGCCATTTCCTAAGGTAGTTTGCTAGATTTGGTAACTGGGCTCAAAATTTACAGGATCATGCCTTGGTATGAACACATCCAATGTCACCTAAGGGGAACTGGCCACCAGAGCACTTAAGTGGAGAGATGCTGCTGTATCCACTAGGCATGGCCACTGTTACTTAAAAAGGAACATTTAGACAGATAGATACAAGACAAATTCTGTACTGTAATCTCCACAAAAAACAGACCGATCCTATTAGCCTCCATAAAACAGCTATCAGTATACAGATGTGTCATATTGTCCTATTTGTCATTTCAATGTAAATGAAAATTACTCAATGGTTGCAGTGTTCATAAAATTGTCAGGTACTACAGTTAACTGTAAGATAGTGCTATTACTGTATAAATTAGCAAAAATAATTAGATTGGAATATGAAGATGCTCATGTAAGATAAGTCTTTGAACCTATCAAGGTCTAGCTATCACCAGAAAGCATATGATTGAAAGATTTAAACTATGGGAATATTCAGTATGCTAAAAGCTGCTGGCTGTTATAGGTTAATTGACCTAGAGCAATATTTTCCAACATACCTAAGGGATTTTTGAAAATGTTACTTGGGCTCTTGAGCAACTGCAGCATTTTAAAATTTTGTCATAAGTAATTTGTGGTTTTATATTCCATCATAGGTACTTATTACATGGTCACATATACCCACACATACACACACACTGGTTTGCCCATCCTTACAGACGTATGATCCTTTCATTTAAGAAGACCAAGGTGAAGTTATTGCAGTCTAGGAATAGTTTATGACTACAAGAGAGGATAACATCTCTTCTTCATCCCAGAATGAGCAGGTTCAGACACCAAGTCAGTTCTATGCTGCTTTGCTACAGTCTCATGTTAGGCAGAAAGTGATGCAGAAGAAAAGATAATTTCACACAAAGGCCACAGTCAAAAGACTCTTGCAACTGAATCATCATCAGAGAGCTCCTGTACAAGAAGGCTGCAGGCAGCAGCCACTGTGTCACACAGCAAACACATATGGCCATGATACACAGTTTTATATGTCATAGCCCGTAGCAGAGAATAAGCAATATGGTATGGTGGGAAACACCAGCTTTCAGGCCATGTGCTAACAGCAAGTCCAGTCATGTTATGGAGGAGGGAAAACCCTCTCACTCCTGCGCAGAAGCTGCTGAATCCAGAAACTGGCCAGAAGACTTCCAAATCATTGAAATGCAACTCAAAATTGATTGAATTTAATATCTATTCTTTCACCAGACCAGAAGGCAGTTTCTCCACTCCCAGTGTTCAGCAATGACTTCAGAGTTTTTACTAGCTGACAGTAAAACTCTTATGCATAGAAAAAACTTTACATTTAGATTTAGCCCTTGGTAAATTTTCTACAGAGTTGCAATAGGACAAAAACTACATATCCTTTTGCTTTTTAAAGCATCTAACACAATTCAGACCCTGTCAAAAAAATACATAGTAATAAAAAGCCCTAAATCTTGTTAGTGAATTTTGACAGCCTCCCAAGTTTATTTATAACATTTACTAACACTTGATATGTTGAATGTAATTGGCTATAATCACTTTAGAATATTCCAAATGCATTCCACACAGATTAGTTTCCCATAAATAGTTTAACAATGGTATTTCTTTTACAGGTGGAACATGATCTTCTTATAGCTTCTGACTTATCTGTATCATATAGATAAGCTTAGTTAGTCTCACCTTTTTATAGGCAATCCAGTCAAACACCCTGTCGATGTCTGAGGCTTGCTGTACTTCCTGGGATACTGGATGTGAACTGGCCAATCCATCCAGCAACATCACTTCGTGTAGGACATCTGTCAGAAATCTCTGCTTTTCCTGAAATACAGCATACGCAGTAGTATCACAGGCAAATACATATTTACAGAAATTCAGAAATGATGCACAGTTACCAGAGGCAGTTGGCTACCATTACTGTTGACTAAAATCAGACCTTCTGCTTTGAATGTAAACCACCATGACCTCCTACAATCTTGAACAGGTATTTGGAATAGACTCAGACTTGAGATCCTTTGCTGCAGGGAAACTTGACTGAAATTAAAAGAGCATTAAATGAATCAAAATGCATCCATATGTGCAGACTGAAATTCTGATTATAATTATTCATACACACAAGGAGTGGGGAGAGAGGAAACAAGCAAAATCTTCAATCACAAAAATAGCTGTCCTCGAGCTTATTGCATATGCAGGTACAAAAATTTTTGACAAAGATGGGTAAATACAATTACTACTTTTTATTTAGTGAAGTTTAGGTTATTTGGCTCTTAGTGACAAGTTCACTTAGCAGATTAGTGTGGGACAGTACAATTAAGAGAGCTCACAGCAGTGTCACAGCAGATGCTTGCTCTCTTTCATGACTCTGGTATAGAAATCCTTCCTCCTCAAGAGCTTGAGCCATCTACAGACTTTGTAATTTCCATCTGAAGAAAACCATTATCATGTCTCTTCGCAAGTGGGAAAAGAGCTGCATACAGTTTAAATGACATAGTCAAAGTCACAGCTACATCAGAGGCAGGTACAACCCAAACAACATTCAACACAAGCATTTGTTTGATTACCTTCTATAAATATGGACAGAAGAGGTATTTCAAAACGGCTGCCTATTTACTCTGGCAGCAACACTAATGAAATGTTCATGTATACTCTATGCACTGTGCTGCAGTCATTTGTACAGTACAACTAGATGGGGCTTTTTCAGCTGAGAAATGACATGCCCTCCTCATACCGCATTCACATAGATGTCTTTTATCCAAAACACTTTGTCAGGAAAGAAGAGCTTTATTTACTTGCTTTTTCAAGTCACAAATAAATGCAAAGAATGAATTAAAAATTACATAAGGATTAAATAAGCTTTTTCACCTGAAATGGCATATCTCAAACTTTATCTAAATTATAACAATTCCTGAATCGATGTCAACCTACTGCCATGATATAAAGAAACTGGGGAATGCAGCATTTTTTTCAAAAGCCACCTTGATGTCATTAGGTAAAATACACACACAATTGCATAATAAATTCTATGTTTAATTTCTTGGGTGGCAAGGTTTTGGTATCTATGTGTTACTTTAAATTATTTTTATAAGACAGCTGAAAAACTCTCCCAGTGTGGATCTATCTAGAAATAAACCTTTATGTTAAAATTCATTAGAGCACAAGAAATGTACCTTGAGCTGACTGCATATCCAGGCAATTAAAAACACAGGGTGCAGGAAAGCCAATTACCTACACACTCTTAGTGTTCTCATCTGGCTGCATGAGGTAAGGTTTGTAAAACAAAAACTAATGTCTTTTTCATATCATTGTTAATTTTCTTAGGCATAAGCAGTTAGTAACTGTCCTTTTTTAATGGGAAAAAAAGTGTAGAGAAACAATTATAATGACAGTTCTACTCTGGAGGAAATTGCTGAGGTGTAAAAATTGTAGATATTTTTATTACACTTCACTCACATTCTTTATCAGTCAGTTACAAAGCCCCATACCATACAAATGTATGATATGTAACAGATACAGGTGGAACACACCTGTCTCCAAATTCAGGTTTGGATCCCATAAGACAAACAATTGTGTGAGTAGATTGTTACTGTTTGGAATTAACTCACTAAAAGGACCTTGGATAACCACAAATTAATACCTTAAATACAGAACCAGAATCAAGAAAATCAGCACATGACAAACAAAGCGAAGATGCAAGAAGAAAACTATGCATTTGAAAAGAACAGGATACATTTTGGTTTTCTCTTTGTTTCTTTGGTTATGTCCTGAAGGACTGAAAAGGAGAACCTCAGATTCATGACCATTCATTCAAGTTATGTAGCTGAAAAAACTTCCTTGAAATTTACGGCGGACTGTCACACTGCGATACAAATGGAATAGTTAGTATGCCTCTGAAAATGCAAACCTACAGTTTACTCGGAATTAAGAAGGCTTTTGACCTATAAAGCTAAATTTGTTGAACTAAAACGATTTCCACAACATTCCCAGCCCTTCCCTTTAGAATAAAGCCCCTGAGAGCAGATTGGAGAAGCAGACAAATATAACTCCAGGAGGCACAGACAGACTGCTGGTTGACAAGGGACCTACACCTTAAAGAGGTAACAAGCAGCAAACGTGTAGGAAGAAACTGAAACTGCCTTAATTATGTTGACAAAACACTACTTAAGCTCTTGAAGTCCTAATATCACATTAAGGGAAAAAGGTCAATATGTGTGACCAAACTGCTTATACAGATGGAAGAAGGGCTTCTATTCCCTAGTTATTTTACCCTGTGCATAGAGTGGAATTGATCTGTTCTAACTGACACCTACAGGTGTAAAGAAACACTCATGACAGAAATGGTAAAGGAAATCAATCTTGGAATGTGTTTAATGAGACCAGCAAGCCGGCAACATGATAGGTGTCAGGTTTGCAGCTACACATTGAAACAATGACAAAATGCTGTTAAAGATGACCATTCCCTGAGGGAGTTCAACTGCAAGAAAAAAGGCAAAGACTGTGATCCAGCTGGGGGAAAAGAGGGCTTCAGGTGAGTCCTGCAGCTTTGCTTGGGAAGTGTCAGTAGCCACGTGCAAGTGCAACGCTAACACAGAGCCAGGGCTCTGAGCAGGAAGGATATCACAGCAGCACAAGGTGAGTCTGAAATAAGGACAGAGCTGCTTCCACACAAATTTGTGCCTCACTTTAAAGACAAAGAGGAAGCTCCTCCACTCCCTGTCTTCCTATCGCGCACTTGGAATCCCAACTCTCCATCTCTTCTCCTGAGAGCTTTTCTTGAACTGTGTATAGTCAAAGTCTGAGACGCCAGACCTTTGTTGAAAATAAAACATATGACAATCATATCTGGTGGTTCTCTTTCTTATTCTTTAGAATGCTTCCAGGTGCAGGGACTGAAGTGCTGTTATCAGATGAACATGTCTTTAAAATATCTACATTTTCTGACTTTTCCCAAACATCTGTGGTCACTAGACTCAAGTATTTGTCTCTTCATAGGAATGATTTCTTTCAGTCTTCACCAGTAAGACCTTCTCTGCTTTGCACAAGATTTCCGTGAAAGACTTATCCTTTTTCTGTGCTGTCCCCTCCCTAGCCAACACTCAAATTCACCTTGTTCTGAGATAGTGGCCACTCTTCATGTATAAATGTCCTGTACCTTCAAGAAGCATTTACCTTCAAGAAAAATGTATTGTGTTTAACAGGGTAACAATGATGTAATGGAGAGAGGTTGCTGCTGGTGATTTTACAATATCATATTGAGGTATAATGTAAGAACAAAAGCATGACAATAATGTAATACTTAAAGACAGTCACGTAATTTTTAATTTCTAAAAATTATTACGAAATACTAAGGAAAAGAACTAAAATGAAAGAAAAAAAAAAAAAGGAATTAAAGAAGCACCATAATGAAACCCCAAACTGATAATTAGTACGCAAAAGAGATCAAAGGCCTCAATATTAAAGGCATTGCCTTTGTTCTGGGACAGACATTTGAACACTTTATGGACTGCGAAATCTACATGAATAAAGCTTAACATTGGTGTGCAAATCTGAAAATGACCTTGCTGACAAATTTTCTGAAAATATCATCTCGACAAGAGCTTTAGTAGCCACCAAGAATACAAAGAAGATAAGTGATTTTTCATGCCTAAGAGAACAAGCATTTGCAAGACACAAATATTTGGGTTTACATGGAAAGTGCACCCTAGGGAAAAAGAAACAAGGGCAAATTTTTTAAGCAACCAAAAAACACCAGCATATACACTACCAGCAGTTGAGTTCTAACAAAATGTATTACAGGATGAAGCTTAAAAAAACAGAGGAATATAATCTATGAGGAAATCTAAGGTTTGGTAAAATACATTAGGGCCAGATAAGATCCACTGAGAGCCGAAATCAAGTTCTTTCTGTCTACATGCTTACAAATCCTAAGTTGTCATAGCACAGGAAGTCTCCTGAGTACTTGCAAACGACAGCAATGTTTCCTTCTTGCTTTCCAATAGTAATCTTTTGTAAATACCTTGAGCAATTGAAAAACTGGGGGTTTTTTAAGTTTGCATCTCTGATGTGTGCCTCAATTATGTGTATAATTTACTGAAGGAGGCCTGGAACACATTCTATATTGATCACCTGCAAACATGTCACAGTTCCATATCTACCTTCATAACCCTCTTTTCTGCATTTCCTGTCAAAGATCTTGCAAAATGTATTGAGAAATTTTCACACTGACTGACAAAAAGGCCTATTTCATTCTCCAAGATCATGTTTTGCCACCATATATGTAGTAGCCTTCGCTGAAATAGAGTCATTAAGCAAACAGATGAACAGAGTTTTCCTCATGCATTTGCCTTTAGAGCATTTTAAAATATTAGGCAACAAAGTATGAAGCTTATCCTCTAATTCAAACACCACAGAGGAAATTTGTAAAGGAAAATCATCTCAATTCAAGAAACAGTAAATAATACTTAAAGGAAAAGTGGCTTTATGATGTAGTTGGCATACTGAGTCAACTTCCAGCAACTACTGTCAGAGGCTACCATTCATGAAAATACTTTTCAGGTATTGCACACCTAGACTGTGCTTCAATCTGAAAGTGATGAGATTCAACAAGTTAAGTCCTGAAGGAAGCAAAGATGTTATGCAGACACACCAAAAATTACTTACCAGTTTGTGCTCCAAGTAACTGCACACTGCCACAACTTTAAAATAAAGTGGTAGCACATTCAGGATTGCTGAAAATTTGAGAATCAGTCTTTCAGTTGAGAATGCCCTCAAAAATACAACTGAACTTTTCTATTGAATTTCCCATAACAACCATACTTTCTGAT